GTCCCAATCTCTTGCGTACTACAGCCAGCCTGTTGCGCCGGCCCGACTTTCTTCAGCGTCCTCCGCTTCGGACGTCCCTCCGCAGTACCGTCGTCCGGAGACAGCAACTGCTTCGCCTCCCTGGTAATATTTCGCCCCTCGTTCGGCGCCACCGAGGCAGCCTGCACCTGTGCCTCCTGTTGTCCCGGCGACGTCCCCGGCGACAATGATGCCACCACCGCTTGGTACACCGCCGACGCCACCAACTCGGCATCCGCCGCTCCCTGGTTGCGCGCAGGTGCCGCAAATTGCCCCGGCGGAGTCCGCATCAATGACTTCCTTGGAGCAGATGGCTCCTTGAGGGGAGGGCCTCCCTCCTCCGACGAGCTCATTGTCGCCCTAAATTGTCACTGTACACAACTTGTAAATAATCCCACAATTAGAGGGAAGATTTAGAAACTGGCAACACTACTGTATAGTTCTGCGTGAATCGAAACGCGTTCCGACAGTGACAGCCGTCAAGCCGACAGCTGTCAGCCACAGACACACCCGTCACTCAAGTGTCAACTGACAGACGTCATCTGTCACACCACTTATTTCCTATCTACCTATAACTAATTAAGAAAATAGTTCTCGTCTAGTCAAAATGAAATAAAATTTAAAAGGGGGGTAGTTGACCGCGTGGTCCTAACCTAAAAGCACGTGGAGATAGTCACGTGCTGCCTACCTACAAGCTACAAACTGCAGGCTAAAATTACCAAAATAACACTAAAAACTATAAAAGTCTCTGTCTTTGTTCTAAAACTAACCTAATTTAGGGTTTATACTTCCCTGTATTCCCGTAACGCGCCTCCAGGCACGGGAGTGTCACTGTATCCACCAATGTCTTCACAAACTGAACACTAATTAGCCTAAAAACAGTACAAAACACGTAATATTCGATCTATCGTTAAAATTTTATTGTTCACAGTATTAGTCTAAGCAATAAAAATAACCCTTCAGGCGCTTCCAGAGGCTCTGAAAAGGATTATGAAAATAAAACAACGGAGTACTTCGATTGCGATGCGTACGCGACGGCGGTCCGCGACGAAGTCGCAGATCGGGACAGTAAACAAAAAACAAGGGGTTTTAAGTCTGGGTTTATTTCATTGTGTTTTAAACTACTAGTGCAAGTTCCTATTATATTAATAACCTAAATTTCCTTTTTCATTAATCGCGACATTTAGCGTCCCGATCAGGTACATATCGGGACGCGTACCCAGACCCTTGAAAATCGGGACGTCCCGCGAAAATCGGGATACCTGGCAGCACTATCGGCGACCAACAGCAAACACACTAAAAAAAATGGGTGCGTGTACTTATGTAGGCGCGTGAGAAGTTATCCTTCTTTGGCATCGTTTAAAATTAGTTTTTAATTGCATGCAAATAATTAATTACAATAAATTAATAAAAAGTCTGGAAAAGGACACAGTCAATACAGTTCAGTTTTAATTTGAAAAAATAAATAAATAATCAAAATATTCAATTAAAATCGCTACTGAATATAATTTATTAGAACATACGTGATTTGCACTTGTATGAAACTCAAACACGTATTCCGAATATACAAACTAGAAACATGTGGATAAATATTATAAATATGAATACCTATAACTGTTACTTTATTACAAAAAATAAAGATGTGGTTTTTGGTTCTACTACACCAATGGTCAAGAGATGGCGCTGTAGTCTCCTGAATCGCGCTTTGGTTCCTTTGTTCCAGATTAATAAATAAATTTGATAGGCCTTCACAATGCAGTCGTTAGCACCCACTAAATAGAGATTCTATTTCTATTTTGTTGGTAGATTTTCTTAATGTGCGGTAAACACAAAAGTAAAAGCAATAAGTTGGTCGCTAAAGCGACCAACTTCATGCTGTTAATTTTTGTGTTACAGTGATGCGCGCGCATCTTAAAATTTCACTCTCATCATTTTTTCATAACGCGCCTAAAGAAGTATAACTTCAAAAAGCCTGCGTGTCAAACATAGCTGGGACTCGTGAACGTGAAGCCACGCGCGGTGCTGTGATTTTCCCGCACTCGTGTGCTACCGTTGGATTTTTCGTAATAAAGTTAACCATATGAACGAACAATTATCGTTTTACTAACTTCACCCCGAACGGTTACAAAATTAAAAATAAAATTATCAATATACGTCTCATATATAAAATAAATCGAAAGATGCGCTTGTTTCTTTATGCGTAGATATCCAGTTATTGGCACGCGTGCCATGAACATAATAATTAATTATTTTTGTTTGTATCTGTGGAAATGCGTTATAATAACGATAGTTATCGTTACAAGTGACCAAGTACGTCGAGGTCCATTAAGATACAGCTATTGGCACGCGTGTCATGAAGACAATAATTAATTATTTTTGTTTGTATCTGTAGAAATGAGTTCTAATAGAGATAGGTATTGTTACAAGTGACCAAGTACGTAAAGGTCCATTACGATCTAGCTATTGGCACGCGTGTCATGAACATAATAATTAATTATCTTTGTTTGTTTCTGTGGAAATGCGTAATAATAACGATAGGTATCGTTACAAGTGGCGAAGTACATCAAGCTCCATAAAGATCCAGCTATTGGCACGCGTGTCATGAAGACAATAATTAATTAATTATTTTTGTTTATATCTGTGGTAATGCGTTAGAATAAAGATAGGTATCGTTACAAGTGACCAAGTACGTCAAGCAAGGTCCATTAAGATCCAGCTATTGGCACGCGTGTCATGAACATAATAATTAATTATCTTTGTTTGTTTCTGTGGAAATGCGTAATAATAACGATAGGTATCGTTACAAGTGGCGAAGTACATCAAGCTCCATAAAGATCCAGCTATTGGCACCCGTGTCATGAAGACAATAATTAATTAATTATTTTTGTTTATATCTGTGGTAATGCGTTAGAATAAAGATAGGTATCGTTACAAGTGACCAAGTACGTCAAGCAAGGTCCATTAAGATCCAGCTATTGGCACGCGTGTCATGAACATAATAATTAATTATCTTTGTTTGTTTCTGTGGAAATGCGTAATAATAACGATAGGTATCGTTACAAGTGGCGAAGTACATCAAGCTCCATTAAGATCCAGCTCTTGGCACGCGTGTCATGAAGATAATAATTAAATATTTTTGTTTTTATCTGTGGAAATGCGTTATAATAAAGATAGGTATCGTTACAAGTGACCAAGTACATTAAGGTCCATTAAGTGTAGGAAATATATATCTGGCTTCAACAAATACCGTTGGCCTCATGGAGCAAATACAAAGAGATCTTGCTGTATGCAATGTCACAGAGCTTCTACCAATGTTGCCTGACAATGGTTTTAGCCTTTCCGCGCAAGAGGCGCTGACATTATTTTGACTCCATTTTTCGCTAGTAAACACGTGGATGTGTTAAAAAAAAGTTCTTGGCCCCATGGAGCAAATACAAAGAAGAGCAACTGCTGTAAGCTCCGCGACATTGGAGCTTCTACTAATGTTGCGTGACAATAGTTCTAGCCACTACTCAAGGGGCGATGATGTCATTTAGACTTCATTTTTCGTGGAGTAAACGAGTGAACATTTAATTTTTTTTTGTAACCTTAATTCTTGCCCGGTGCCAGGGACTAATTAATTTATTTTTAGTAAGTTATTTAGACACCTTAATTAATTCAGCATTAAAATTAATTGCATAAATGAGAAAATATAATAATTTTTAATGTAATAATATAACGACTTGTACAAATAACAAATACCGCCATCTAGCGTCAACTAGATATACTACATACTATCCAGTGTTTCCACAGTCAGGAATGATTTTGATCATTTTTTTTATATTGCCCTAAAATCCTCGATTTAGAGATTTTTTAAATACTTAGAAATAATACATTAAAAAATAATTAATGTAATTATATATGAGGTCGTAGTAGATTGTTCTAATGTATTTTTAAGTAGTAAGACTTTTAAAGTGAGTTTTTCCCTTATGACATAGGATATGGAGAGGAAAATTGTAAATGCAGTCTTCATTAAAAAATAATTCTAATTATTAAGTCAGCAAAAAAACCTAATTATCATTCCTTCTTAAATGAATAAGCAATAAAGAAAGAGAAACATACATTAAAGTTATTTAAATATACTTGTAAACTTAAGAATATATGTAAACAAAACAAAATACTCGCTAAACAACAAATTACCCTAAAAACGTAAAAAGAAAACTACCCTGCCATACTGTAAAGTAAATAACTGTTTCGCACTAAAAAAGGGCGAAATTCTTAAAAGTGGAAACATTGGTACTGTCTCATGACAGGGACGTATTAATTGTGACCTAAGGACCTTTGTGATTGCGTTTGTTCAACGCTATTTAATTGATATTTTAAAAATGAACACCGGCACTAAATTTTAATATACACATTTTTCTTTATTTGTATTTGATTTAGCTACTTGAATCTTATTTTTGTACGATGTCTCTTTAAAATGTGTTAAGAAAATTATAAGACCTGGTTGGTATTGATTTCATTTTGACATAATGCATACCTTTCGATATAAAAATCAAGCAGTTTAATACTTATTCATAAAATTAAATAAAATATGGACGGAATGAGTAAGCATGTAACCTCATTTCATATATTGATATAATAATTATCTTACATGTTGTAATCTTTTCTTTTTTAGTTTCGCTATCGCACCGCCCCCCGCTTCACCCATCAGTAACTTCACTTGATTTCTTAGAGTAAACGCGCTATAATACCTCCTCCTTGTTTGTGCTCCAGTGTCGGCTCTCAGCCATGCTGCTAGTAAAAGCGGACGCAGTAGCAGGCGCATCTTGATGCGTTGTCTTCGCCCCCCCCCCCCCCCCCCCTGACGCAAACACGAACGCAATCGAATTTTAATCCGCTCTTATTTATAAGATTAATAGTATAATTCCCGCAACAATCACTAAAGTCCATTAAGCGTCACTTTGCGTGTGAGGTGTTCAATAAATACTGTTGGATTTCAGCCATGTTGCCTGTAAAAACGGACGTGGTAGCGGGTGCATCTCGCCTCTGCCCCGGTTCGCGGCGCTCGTTCTTCTGCCGCATCAAGTCTCGCACTCCCGACGCTAATGCCGACGCGTCGCCCACCGCCGTCGCTATAGCAGCCGCAAACGCCGCCGCGTTGCCTACTGACGACCCCGACGCCAAGATGCGCAAGAAGCACAATTCGGAGAAGAAGTACTGCGTTGTTCATTGCACTGGTGAGTTTATGAAATGTTTTTTCGTTACCAGTTTGCGTTGTGACGTGAGGTCTTTTGTGTGAAGCTTTGGGCGCAAATTGATAGATAGACTATGAAGATATACGTGATTTGACGGTTGAGTAGACCATTCGTCTCAGTGCTGCAACCAGGTACCCGTCATTCCAGAAAATCGTTATTGACCACGATCTAGATATAGACAAAGCGAGCATGTAGTGCGTGCGTGCAGCAGGGGTGTAAGGTGTACTAAATACACCTGCAAGAACCCAAGCCAACCTCACCTTCACATGGTGCACCCTGTTGACCAACAGACGAGGTTCTGGCAAACCGACCGATGGCGGTATAACCATCCAACGACGTAGGGGAGGGAAATCTCACTGGTGACGGGCAGCAACGTCATCAGTAAATAAACCTTCGCTCTGCGATCGCCAACCCGCCTGCCCAGCGATTATGGGCAAAACCTTCTATGCACAAGAAACACAAGCCACGGCTCCCAGTTCCCGGTAGCCCCGCTACTTCTGGTCACGGTGGCGACCACGGCAACGGTGGGGCGGGGTTAAGAATATGCGGGCTACGGGAGGCCACCACAAAAGATTGACCCTGGCGACGTACAACGGACGCACGCTACGGCTTGACTCGCATCTGACGCAACTCGAGGTGGAACTTGGGAAGATTAGGTGGCACATTTTAGGGTTAAGTGAAGTCCGATGTGAGGGGGAGGACATAACCCTCGAATCGGGCCACCTTATGTACTTCCGCGGGAGAGACCAACAGTCCCAAGGTGGCGTTTGGTTTTGGTAAATAAGTCCCTTGCCAATAACGTTGTGGAAACGTCCAGCGTGTCGAACAGGGTAATGTACCTTATAAAGCTCACCGAGAGGTATAGCCTCAAGTTGGTGCAAGTGTACCCACCGACCTCGACACACTCGGACGACGAAGTGAAGTATATGTTCAATGATATATCGAGGGCCCTCCACTCCACTGCTAAGACCCACTACAACGTTATTATGGGGGACTTCAACGCTAAAGTGGGAGTACAGAATTGCAGCGAATCGGTAGTAGGATCCCATGGATTTGGAAGCAGAAATCATAGAAATCATCGTCAACAACTTCGAACGGGAGGGGCTCTTCATGATGAACTCTTTCTTCAAGAAACAGCCCCAAAGGAAGTGGACGTGGCAAAGCCCCGACATTATGTCTAAAAATGAGATCGATTTCATCATGACGGACAAGAGGTGCATATTCAGAGACGTCTCCTTGATCAACAGGTTCAATACCGGTAGTGATCATCAACTCGTCCGGGGCTCTCTGAATATCAACTTTAAGGCCGATCGCGTCCGTTTGATGAGATCCAGGCTCTCTGCTCCAATCTATAACAGAATCTGAAACGTTCCAGTCAAATCTGGAGAACCGATTTGCTGCCGTGGAAACCACATTAGACGTAAACCAAAACCTCGAAAATGTGGTTCGGATCCTCAGGGAAGAAGGTAAGAAAATGAAAATATATTCATTGGAACTAATTAAGGTAACATGTATAATTAGGATCGTTAATAGCTATATTAGTTTCTAGAATTGGGTTACAGCTATTAGCGCCCGCCTTCAGATACAGGGACGTGTGTTCCATAATACATAAATAAAAATTACAGTCCTTATCTTATCATATACTTAAAAATAAAAAGTATGTATGTGTGTGTGTGTGTTTGTATATATGAATGTATGTGTGAGTCTGTATTTGCGTGTGTGTCTGTATGTGCATGTGTGTATGTTTATGAGAGTGAGAGTGTCCGACTGTACTAAAATAATAGTTGCATGTGATTTCACATGTATATCCGTGTGTTATTTGATGACCTTGAGTAAGCTCTCCGTTTCATCATATGAAACGGAATGCAACCACTGCCTAGCAACCGTCTTATACTTATTAAGGGTAAGTGGATATATGTCAATGATTTTGCTGGCCCAGTAATATAACAAAGGAGCAATGTTTGAAAGGTGGCGACGAGACAATGTAAGCCTGCATCTACTAATTTTGCAAACCCTACCACATCCACGCTTACTTCTGGCAGTTTCTGGGTCATATGGGAGGCGACGATGTGTGTACAATATAGCATTGAGAATAAACATCTGCCTAACAGTCAAAACACCGGTGAGTGAATATAGTTCGACAGCTGGATATCTAAAAGGCTTTTGCATCATCACCTTCAGAACCGCTCTCTGGGCTCTTTCTAAACGCAGCAAAATACTTCCATGAGTTCCACCCCAAGCACCCAAGCAATGGTCTGGGCAAGAGAGTAGTATATGACATTTAACGTAGCAGAGTCAACCACATCTCTTAAAATTTTAAATACGTATGCGAGCTTTCTAACACGACATCACATCTACGGCAAACTTACGAATCTGCTTTTTTAGTAAAAATATATAATAAAATACTGCACATAAGGGGGTACTCAACACTAGGGAAAAATCACACAATATTATCAATGACGATTCCAAAAGTCTGATATGTTTATACACCGAAAGTAAACTTACCAAATTAATATACGATATTTTGGCGTAGTAGGTTTTATGAATTTAAAATTTGTAAGTTTACTATGGAAGTGACGACGTGATGAAATTAGACATATGTGTTCCTTCCAGGATAGAGTTTCATCTAAAATAACTCCTAGATATTTGATTGAGGATGTAATTTCAATTTTAATACAGGAGCACGACTGTTTTACACGAGACTATTTGCAACGCAGTGTAGGGACAGTAAGTCAAAGCTTTCCGAAGAGACTTTAGGGCTAATGAAGGAACGACGTGAAAATCCACCCGCCGCCACGTCGGTAAAGCGGACTCTAAACCAAGAGATCAGTAAGCACGTACGACACGACCTCCGGTGCTCCAATACTCTCTCGATCGAGAGAGTTATCGAGCAGAATCGAGAGTCCAAAGCGTTCGTACAATCTCTGAAGAAGCCATCTGACGAAGTTGACCACAGCAAGTGGGGAAGTTGTTGCTTCAAAGCCGGCAGTCATTTCGGAAGTGGAAGACTTCTACAGCTAGTTATAAGCATCACATGCATCTCGACCCGATCCCGGAAATGATTCTAGAGCCACATTAACACGCCAAATCACCGAAGATCTGCCAGAAGTCTGTATTGGCGAAATCGAGATTGCTTTTGAACAGCTTAAAAATGGAAAAGTCCCTGGAGAGGATGGTGATACAACAGAACTCTTGGAGGCTGGAGGTGTACGGGTTTTGAGGTAGCTCCAAAAGCTTTTTAACACTGTCCTGTGGAGAATTCCGGAGGTGTGGAGTAGGAGTGTGGTCGTCTTATTCTTTAAAAAGGGGGACAAGACCCTACTTAAGAACTATCGACCCATATCCCTTCTAAGCCACGTCTGTAAGCTGTTCTCAAGAGTGATCGCGAACCGTCTTGATGACTTCCAACCACCGGAACAGGCTGGGTTTCGGAGCGGATACGGCACCAAAGACAACATCCACACAGTGCGGCAGATTATACAGAAGACTGAGGAGTATAATCAGCCCCTGTGCCTAGCATTTGTGAACTATGAGAAGGCCTTTGACTCGATTGAAATCTGGTCTGTCCTGGAGTCCCTGCAGCGTTGCCAAGTCGACTCGCGATACATCCAAGTGATTAGATATCTCTACGAAGCCGCTACCATGTCTGTTCAAGTACAGAATCAACATCCCAGACCGTTGCGTCGTGGAGTGAGGCAAGGGGAAATTGCATTCTTGAACAATTTCCACGAAATTGTTCAATAATGCAATGGAGGATATGTTCAAGACGCTGAACTGGAAAGGACATAAATGGCGAACGCATCTCTCACTTGCGATTTGCAGACGACATCGTCATCATGGCAGATCCCTGCAGGACCTACAACAGATGCTGAATGACCTGGCTGACTCTTCTATACGCATCGGCCTACGAATGAACTTGGATAAAACCAAGGTCATGTTCAATGAACATGTTCTACCGGAACCGATTGCAATACACGATGCCGTTCTCGAAGTTGTTCAAAAATATGTGTACCTCGGGCAGATATTGCAGTTAGGTAGAAACAACTTTGAGGACGAAGTGAATAGAAGAGTTCAGCTAGGTAAGGCAGCGTTTGGGAAGCTACGTCAAGTCCTGACATCGTCGATCCCACAGTGCCTAAAGACGAAAGTCTTCAATCAGTGCGTCCTACCTGTGATGACATACGGAGCCGAGACGTGGACACTGACGGTACGGCTGGTCCACAGGTTCAAAGTCGCTCAGTACGCTATGGACAGGGCTATGCTCGGCGTTTCTCTAAAGGATCCCATCAGAAATGAGATAATCCGACAGAGAACCAGAGTTATCGACATAGCCCACCGGATTAGCAAGTTGAAGTGGCAGTGGGCTGGCCATATTTGCCGAAGAACCGATAACCGTTGGGGTAGACTAGTTCTGGGGCGGAGTCCGCGTCTAGGCAAACGTAGTGTAGGACGTCCTCAGGCACGATGGAGTGACGATTTGCGCAAGGTGGCTGGCAGGAGCTGGAAGCGAGTAGCCCAAGATCGATCTGAGTGGCGAGCATTTGGAGAGGCCTATGTCCAGCAGTGGACTAAGATAGACTGTTGATGAGCATGCAGTCAACTTCTTAGTATGTGAACTGTACGAGTTACCGATCGTACATAGGTTTTTGTTTATGTGTACATAATTTTAAGGTCGTGCCGCCGCGTTTCGTAAGCGCATGCAATTTCAACAATAATCATGTTTAAAAAAACCTATATAAAATAAATCAGTGTTAATTTAGCACCCTAACGGGACGGTTTTATTTATCGTCACCCAATCGTTTCTAACTTATCAATATAAATTATCATTTTCGATTAAATATAAAAAGGCCTACGCATTAGCCCTTACATTTATTTTGGTCCTTCGAGGCGAATATGAACCTATGGATCCACAGTAGGATCACATTTCTTATAATTTTATAATTTACTTATCAAGATAACAGGGTTTTACCATTTGGTTTATCGTCTATTCTTTTGTGTTTAGTGTATGTTTTCAAAGCTCTTAACTGCAGTCATGGAGACACGAAATGATTATTGATATAGTAGTATTTTAGCGAGTGCCTTAAGCTCCTATACAATTGTAACTGAAATAAGGCACACCCTGAAAGTAGTTTGTTACAAATATGCAAACGGATGAATTTCTGTAATTTCTATTTTTATTTAATCAGTTTAACAAGTAAAATCTATAATATAAGTAAATTTATTTAATGTACCGTTGCATTTAAAAATAGCTCTTATTACCTTGTATTATGTGTTATATTCTTTTGTTAAGCATGATTCAATTCAAGAAAATAGTTTTTATTTGACTTTAGTTACTTTTTATTTATTGTAATCGATTCAGAATCCAATTTCAGTCAGCATACTTTTAGGGTGTGCCTTATTTCTGAGACACATCGTATGACAGAGATGTCGAGTTAAAAAATTACCAATGAATCATTCACTCTTAGGTTACCTCAAAGCGCGCGCACCCGCGGAAATGTGCGACGGTAGCGGCGAGGGTGAGAGCGATGAAAACGACGCGGGCAACTTATCGTGCCTAGTAGCGGTGGGGCGGGCCCTGCCCGACTTAGCGGCCTCGCCTGTGACTTCTAACAACCCGCCCGCCCCCGTCAACGCCCCGCCTACTAGACTGTTGCAATTCGTGTCCCGGCACGCGACTGATGGGAAGTTCCTGTTCGTCGACCAAAGGTGAGAGTTACAGCGACACTTCTTATAGTGTTCAGTAATTGTAGGGCGCGCCCTGCCAGACTTAGCGGCCCCTCCCGTGACTTCTAACACCCCGCCCGCCCCCTCAACGCCCCGCCTACGAGACTGTTGCAATTCGTGTCTCGGAACGCGACTGATGGGAAGTTCCTGTTCGTCGAACAAAGGTGAGAGTTATAGCGACACTTCTTATAGTGTCCAGTAATTGTAGGGCGCGCCCTGCCAGACTTAGCGGCCCCGCTCGTGACTTCGAACACCCCGCCCGCCCCCTTTAACGCCCCGCCTACGAGACTGTTGCAATTCGTGTCCCGGCACGCGACTGATGTGTAGTTCCTGTTTGTCAAACAAAGGTGAGAGTTACAGCGACGCTTTTTATAGTGTCTAGTAGCAGTAAGGCAAGCCCTGTCCGATCTAGCGGCCCCGCCCGTCCCCATCAACGCCCCGCCTACGAGACTTGCAATACATAAGTGTCCCAGCACGCGTCTGACGCGAAGTTTCTGTTCGTTGACCAAAGGTTAGTTGTTAGGTTGTTAGGTTAGGTTAGTTTATCATTATAGAAAAAATATTTGGTGCTCTGTAACTTTGGAATTTATATCCGACTAGCTTCCGTCCATGATCCACACAAACCTAACATTTACCGGGGTAATAAGTATCCTAAGTCCAGTCCAGATAATAAACTATAAGTGTGTGTAATTTCATCCAAATCCATTTTTGCGTGATCAAGTATTGAACATACGATTTTGTTTAGTATGACTCGGATTTTTTATACGTGCGAATTTAGATAAGTGAATTTTCAATGCAGGGTGACGCTAGCCCTCGGGTTTCTACCGCAAGAGTTGCTCGGCACCAGTCTGTACGAATACGTGGGAGGGGAAGAACTAAGTGCGGTTGCGCACGCGCACAAAGCGGCGTTGTTGCGTCGCGCCGCCTTACATACGCCCGTGTACTCGTTCCGGAGGAAAGATGGCTCGTTCACGCGACTGCAGACGCATTTCAAACCATTAAGGTGAGCGATTGTTAAATACATTGATTGGTTTTAATTTACGGTCAGTTCTAATAATCAATCTCTAATGACGATCTCCTTGGCCGAGTGGTTTGTACGCCGGGATTCGAGGCGTCGCCTACTCGAGAGGTCCCGGGTTCTAATCCCGGCGGGGGCAAATGTTTGTGTGATGAATACGGACATCTGTACTCCTGTCATGGATGTATAATAGTGTTTTTCTATATAAATATATACTTATATATGTATTCTAGTATCCCATAACACAAGCCTACAGTGCTTACTTTGGGGCTAATTGGTGTGTGTTGAAATTATAAAAAAATTACAGGTGGGACCTTTTGGGCTTAGTCTGTTATCACCATCGTCCTAGTAATGTCTCCACTACTGGGACACAGGCCTTCCCCTTGGCTGGAATAGGGAAACTAGGCCATGACCCACCACGCGGGCTCAGTATGGACTGGTGGGTGGTAACGACTGCAGATGCAGTCGGGATCATCGGCTTAACGTGCCTTCCGAAGCACAGAGGACCTTGAGAAAGTAAATTTTTCGTCACCCATCCAATGACAGACCACTGCGTTAGATGCTAAACTTCAACGATCGCAGTCGAACGCGCTAATCATTTGCGCCATCGGGCTCCTCAGTAGTAGTTTCGGAGTATAAATGGATAGATGGAGTGTTAGATACACTGATTGGTGTTAACTTACGGCCACTTCTAAATAATTCCGATAATAAGCGGACCTTTAAGGGTTGCTTTGTTAATTTGTTCGAAATCACATTTTTTCCTAATAGTCCAGGAAATGAAGCTAAAAAAATGGTAAAACCTCGCAATTTTTATTTCATCCTCAAGTTCATTTTCAGTATTGTGCCGTTGTACGCTTTTTGTTTTTTAGGGGTGAAAACTACCCCTTATTATCAAAAATTATAAAATAAAATTAAAAACCTAAATATGGCTAAAAATAGTTAAAAAATGTTTGTTTATGCTTTAGGATACAATTTCATAATCTTTCAACCTACTCTTGTTAAAAACTACCCTAAAAAAATGAGACGTAATGTACGACGTATTAAATCGTACTCATCAGGGCAAGGGGTGGAAACACCCGATATTGACGTGTACAAAAAAAAAACAAAAAAAAAAGACTTCAGTGTACACTGTTTGAAAATTAAGTAAAAGTTTCTGTGAAAGTGAAACTTTCCATCAAAATTTTCTTTTTGATACAATAATTTCTTGAACACTTAAAAAATTGTTAAAAACCATTATAAAAGTGAACATGCGTTGGATCTAAATTAAATTAAATGCAAAAAAAAAATGTATTCAAATCAAAGCAAAAGTAAAGTAATTTAGATCCAACGCATGTTCACTTTTATAATGGTTTTTAACAATTTTTTAAGTGTTCAAGAAATTATTGTATCAAAAAGAAAATTTTGATGGAAAGTGTCACTTTCACAGAAACTTTTACTTAATTTTCAAACAGTGCACACTGAAAAGTCATTTTTTTTTGTTTTTTTTTGTACACGTCAGTATCGGGTATTTCCACCCCTTGCCCTGATGACTACGATTTAATACGTCGTACATTACGTCTCATTTTTTTAGGGTAGTTTTTAACAAGGGTGGGTTGAAAGATTATGAAATTGTATCCTAAAGCATGAAACAAACATTATTTAACTATTTTTAGCCATATTTAGGTTTTTAATTTTATTTTATAATTTTTGATAATAAGGGGTAGTTTTCACCCCTAAAAAACAAAAAGCAGAAAATGAACTAGAGGATGAAATAAAAATTGCGAGGTTTTACCATTTTTTTAGCTTCATTAGGAAAAAACGACTATTAGGAAAAAATGTGATTTCGAACAAATTAACAAAGCAACCCTTAAAGGTCCGCTTGTTATCGGAATTATTTAGAAGTGGCCGTAAGTTAACACCAATCAGTGTATCTAACACTCCATCTATCCATTTATACTCCGAAACTACTACTGAGGAGCCCGATGGCGCAAATGATTAGCGCGTTCGACTGCGATCGTTGAAGTTTAGCATCTAACGCAGTGGTCTGTCATTGGATGGGTGACGAAAAATTTACTTTCTCAAGGTCCTCTGTGCTTCGGAAGGCACGTTAAGCTGATGATCCCGACTGCATCTGCAGTCGTTAGCACCCACCAGTCCATACTGAGCCCGCGTGGTGGATCATGGCCCAATTTCCCTATTTCAGCCAAGGGGAAGGCCTGTGTCCCAGTAGTGGAGACATTACTAGGATGATGGTGATAACAGACTAAGCCCAAGAGGACCCACCTGTAATTTTTTTATAATTTCAACACACACCAATTAGCCCCAAAGTAATATGGAATCTGTGGGCTCGTGGTCTACTGTTTTGTGTTCGTGTAAGTAGACATCTGAAGCGATCGGTCTGGGTGTGGGCCGATGTGCATGGTTGACATTGGGAGCGTGAAGTTGCACAGAGTTGGTACGGACAGCCGACTGTTGAAACGGTCCTCAAGCGTTGCATTCACCGGTGCTGCTAATGCAATGGTTGCATTTTGTTCGGCAACACACGTCGCTGTGCGTTTTTCTGAATGACGACTTGAATTGTACGAACTATGAGATTTAATGAGGGTTTTCTGGAATGGCGTTCAACAGGTGGCAGCACTGAGACGAAAGCTCTTATCATCCGTCAAATCGCGTATGTCTTCATAGTTTATGAATCATTTTAAATACTCGTTCGATAAGATCGCGCCAAAAACTTCATACAAAAGACCTCACGTCATAGTGGCGCCAACTGGCGACGTAAATTTTCATAAACACCCTCATTGACTTATCGCTAGCCTCCAATGCAGCGAGTTTTGCAGCTAACTGCGTCTGCTCAGCTTCTTCTATGGTAGCAAGTTTGCGCTCCCGCTCCACCCGTCTCTGCTGCACCTCCGCTTCGGTGGCAAATTTTTGAAGACCTGGAGCGCTCGCTTGTTGACTGTTTACTGTAAACACTGGGATTGCTCTGAGCAGGTGTTCGAGCATTGCGTACATTTTGAGATGAAATGCTGTTACGACCGGTCGAGTCCCTTGTGAGGCTATTTGGTCTCGCGGTGGAAGACGTGGGTTTAAAAGTTTGCGTAGTCGTGCGAAGAGGCAATGCTTCAAAACTCAGCTACGCGGTCATCAGTAAATCAAAATAAACCTGCAAAATTAAGATATAAAATCGATGAATTGGCGCCGTACCATTGTCAGTACAATGTTATTGAATTAATCTGGGCTCAAGTCAAAGGATACGCAGCACGTCAAAATACAAAGCCACCATTCTCCACTAAGAATATGATGACATTGTTAAAAGAAGCTTGTGATAAAACAACTAAATAAGATTGGGTAAAAGTGGTAGAAAAGACGCGAAAAATAATAAAGGATGATTATGATACAGACGTCAATATTGATAATTTTATAGAAAATGAAATAATTATATATACAGGCGACGATAGCTCATCTGGCTCGTCATCAGAAGAAAATGGTTGATTTCACTTTTCTTCATTTTGTTGTCATTGAGCAAAATTTTTAAATTAAAGGCAAATTGACATTTCTTTCCATTGTATCATTTCAAATTGCCTATAACATTAAAGTTTAAGTTATATGTTCTAATAATATCTTAAATCAAATGCACTTTGTGATATATAGTCAAATCAATCAAATACTCTACAAGCTTGAATCGATTTATCGTAAGTATCGTGCACCGAGTCGTATGGTACATCACTAGTTACGCCACGATGACAAATGTCAAAACGGGCTTCTTATGTTGTGACGACTGTAGTTGTTAATTGATATTGGTCGATACAAAATAACTATCTTTTTAATTTGTATATAAACATTTTCTTTTATTGTAAAATTGCAGTACTTGCGGCGACCACCGTGTCTGCGTGGTTTGTACGCCAAGTTTCAAGCTGTCGCCTACTCGAGAGGTTTCCGGGTTCGAATCCTGGTGAAGATGTCTGTGTGATGAATACGAGCATTTGTACTCCTGTTATTGATGTTTAATATGTATATATATGTATACTATCCGTTACCCTAATATCCCATAACACAAGCCTACAGTGCTTACTTTGGGGCTAGGCTAATTGGAGCTATACACTTTCCTGACGCATAAGCTTCTTTATCGACTGCGCTCCATTTACACTTAACATTAGGTGGAGTGAAGCAATTCACTGCGACTTGTATAAAAAAAGTAAAATAAATTTTGGCTGCTAACGACTACAGCCAGGAACAACGGGGAAAAGTTTGTAGTAGAGGATTTTGGGAAGCCCTAGCGGGAATTTTGGGATTTACTTACTATAAGGGGGATTACTGTAAGGTGGCAACCTCCAAGGTTGACCTCGTGAAGTACTTTTACCATACTATTCAAAAGACTCGATTTGGACGCGACCAAAAATCATGACCATTTGTTGATTTTTTTGCTGCCCTAGCTGTTCTGCCGTACATAGAGGGCTCAAGCATAATGGGAATATTTCACACAAGATGCAGGGGGGCAACCCCTTATGTTATTTAATCCCCGCTTAGGCTCCAATGCTAATTAGGTTGAGAAATATTTTTGTTAACCAAACCAAAGTATGATAAATAAATAGAACGCCTGTTCTGCCCCGCACCTCATCGTTACCCTGTCTAGACAACCGAAATTGCTCACTATAAGATTTTATTACGCTATGTCTGTCTTATGACCGAACCTATTGCTTAATTTCCATGATCTAAGAACATAATAATTAATAATTGAATTTGATAATCTAATGTTCTAATGCAATTTTTTTAATGTCATTTAATAATTTAATTTTATCGCTTTAATGCATGCGGAGCTAACCTGTAAGTGTCCGTCGCAGTCACTTTTCAGCATGATAATGTAAATTAAGGCTTAGTTTTCCTGAGGTACAAGCACGAATTTTGACAGCTTCGTAATCGTATCGTCATCGTCAAATTATGGAGTTTGTTCTTACGTCCGGTAGAGGCGCTGCTTAATGTTCATAGAAAAGTTGACGACGCGGAGTGATTATGGAGCTGTCAAAATTCGTGCCCTCTGTAAACAGACGTTGGTTAGTCTAATAAACAAAATAAATAAATAAAAAACGAGTGTCCTTCTAACTTAAGGGCCCTTTTACGAAATTGCGCCGCTGCCTTACTGATCGACCTTACTGATTTCGAGTCTTATAAAATAATTATTAATGAAGTAATTATAAAAATATATAAATATTTTAGTAGTTCAATAATTGTAAGATAGATTTATGAAAGTTTTTAATAGTAATTCTATTTAATTCAATATCACAACACGGGTAAACCTGCATTGTTTTTTGGTTAAACTCACGGAGGTTAGATGTTTTTTTTTGATTCATAATGAGACGGAAAATCAAAATTCTAATACATTATGTTATAACAAAAACATAGATACTTAGCGTTCACTTGCAAGGACATAACTACACGTCACTCGTATGAAGAAAGACTAGATTTTTTCAATATTTTGAAACTAAAGAATCGCCGCATACTTCACGACTTATGCTTTTTACATAAACTTTTAAATGGTTTAGTTGAGTCAGAGTCCTCGATAGAAAATTTTACGTTCAGAGTCCCTCGACCCAATTCCCGTTACGTTTGTAGGGATTTATTTTATATTCATCGATGTCGAACCAATCTTGGCAAGAGTTCCCCAGCTAATCGCATATGTATAAAATATAACGAAATTATCAATGTTTATGGCAATAATCTGGACATTTTTGGCAACAGCTTTCACACATTTAAAAAAAATTAGTAACGATTTTGGCTCATTGGTCGGAGTCGTGACGGGTTGACACTTACAATAATTCATCGATCAAGTGCAAGACGCTGGTGCTGCATGATATATCCTATTAAGTTTAACATGTTATTACTTGTGAGTGTTGACTCGTGCTTGCTAGCCTGACACACTGGGTATGTTTTTTAGTTTATAGGATGTAATGCAAGAGATGGCATTTGTTATAAAGTTAATTGGAATTACTGTGTATACCTTTTATTAAAATCATACAAAGTATTTTCGATAATAAGGTTGTAAAAATTATGTAATGTATGTATTTTGTTGGTGTACCATAATTAAACAAAATAAAAATAAAAAATAGAATATTTCTGATGATTAGTAATAAATTTGATCTAATTTATTGAACATTATTTAGAGATTCAGGCGTTTCATGGTGTCACCGACTCGAGAGGTGCCGGGTTCGAATCCCGGTGGGGGCAGATGTTTATGTGATGAATAAGAGCATTTGTACTCCAGTCATGGATGTTTAATTATTATTTCCATATAAATATACTTAAATATGTACAGTATATGTATTCTATTCATTACCCTAGCATCCCATAACACAATCCTTACAGTGTTTACTTCGGGGCTAGGCTATTAAAAAAAATCATGACGGGTTGCACTCCGGGAGTGCCGGCAGAAGTGAAAACTTGAATATTAACGTTGTGCTTTTTGATATTTTGGAATGGTTAGGGAATAATTTTGCACGAATTGCTTTAATTATCAGTATAAAAGTACTATCATGTATGTGGTAGAGTACAATATTTATTTATTGCGCTATCGTACACAAACAAGGCAATTTATATTACATTAAAAAAGTTTGTTCTCTCAGAAAAATCAACTTACATGAATCACGTTTATGCGCACTTAGCGACATCTATTGTAAAAAAATGCATTTTCTTCGCTATAAAGCTGCCTCGTGGACGTCCTAGGTAGAGACTTAGTATTATAATACGATAAAATAAAATATTACTATGTTTCGTCCAATATATTGAAAGTCAACAACCTTTCCAATTTTATTGTGTGTCATGATGCGAACAGCCCTGACGCGAGTTTAACATTTTTTACCCATACAAAAAAAAAAGTTTAAAACGCCGCTAAAGAAGTTTTCACTTCAAAAACCTATTATAAAACCTGTTACAGAAACCCTTGGACCAAAGATGTGGAGTACTTAGTGGCCAACAACACTATAGTGGCGGGTTCGATGCGCGCGGCCGTCTCGGACGACACACAGGATACCTTCGACGTGTACAAAAACAGTCAGTACACTATCATTATTAATTATAACGACCTAGATATCATCAGAGAAGCTTAATGGCGCGGGTGGTTATCGCGTTCGGCTGCGATCGTTGAAGTTAAAGGCTTCGTCAAACAGAACGCGTACTTAGCGCGCTTCAGAGCTATAAGAATAGAGTAGGGGAGTTATACACTCTACTACAAGTGGAATTGTTCCTCTAATAGAAAGAGAAAGAAGATGAGAGACCGCCAGCTTTCTCTCTCTAATCGCGCATGCGCATTGGCAACCGTAAGCATCTTACTATTTCGATGTGATGCCATTGGATGCCATGCGTCACATGAGAGAGAGAGATAGCTAGCGGTATCTCATCTTCTTTCTCTTTCTACTAGACGGACACTTTTAGAGCCGCCTTCCCCACTATATTCTTATACCTCTATGGTCAGAGCGCTAACTTGACGCCGCGCTATGAGCCTAAGATGTGTTGTACTACCATGGTAAAATACCGTCAAACAGAGTGCCAGAGTTTTTTACAAATTTAATTTTAGCGTCCGAGTGAATGCTTGTTAAAATACTGCATAATGTCCGATATTTCAATAGAATTAGTTAGAAAATACCCATGCTTATATAATACGAAGGATAGTTTTGTATTAAAAATATATCAATCAAGTTTTGCACCCATGCTACTCGTATATATCTTTTTCTCTGTGACCGTGATAAAGCATATTAAAGTAATATTTTTTCCATATCTGAATCACTCGACATCTGCACTACGATTTGGTGAAAGGAAAAGGTACGTTACGTTAAGAAAAGATGGGCTAATCTAGAGAATCTGTGTGACATGAAAAGAGCGCGACATTACAACGCTACGATATAATGCTACTACGCAGCGCTAAGTACGCTTTCTGTTTGACAAAGCCTTTAAGCAACTTTCGCAGTGGTCGATCATTGGATTGGTGACTAAAAATTTTCTATCTCGTGTTCCTCCGTTCGCAAGGCACGTTAAGCCGCTGGTCCCGGCTGCATCTGCAATCGTTAGCACCCGCCAATCCGCACTGGGCCCGCGTGGTTGGTTCCGGCCCAATCTCCCTATTCCATTCATAGGGATGGCCTATGCCCCAGCAGTGGGGATATTAATACGCTGATGATGATGGGGTATCACCCTTTGACAATGAGGGCTGACGAGTATGAATCCGCCGCTAGAGGCTCTTGTGTAGCGCGAGGTCTGCGAAATGTCAAATGTTATTGCTTATGGGTTGACTGAGCGGGTTTATTTCTTATTAAAATGATTATGTGAATATTTGGTAAAAACTTCGATTAATTATGGCAAATATGAGTTACGTGTCAAATAATGTCAGTGATTTAAAAGCGGAGCCAAGAAAAAATATTATTGCCCTCCTGTTTTTGTATTAAAATTTAATTTAAATGTAAACTTTGATTTTACGCACATAATAAATAACAAACTTTAAAAGCTACACTTCAGGATCTCATTCAACGGTGGCGCCATCTGGTGAGACAAAATTTATAGAGATTTTGCTTTTCAAAGGTGTTATGATGGGCTGTTATTCCATAACAAAGGTGCAAAGTGCCGACAAAAATTTACTTTAATTTTGAGAATTATTCATAGATGGCGTTGGGTGTAAGTACCAAACATTGTTCCTTTATAAAATAAAGGCACTTTGCCCCAATGAGATTTGTTATGGTACGTAGCGCCTATGAAAAGTAAAATATCTTGCATTTGGACCATTTCTGAATAGATTTTAAAAATAAGCTTTTTTTTTAAATTATAAATTTGTTCAAATCTAATGTTATTTTCCTTTACCTATATAAAGTATAAATCGAATATGTTTAATTTAAATTTAGTTTTTGATAATAGAACGCCGCAATTAAATGGCGACTTAGTAACTAATGCATGTTTATTTGTTTCTTAATAATTCTGTTTTGGGACTTAACTCATTTGTAAATTCCAAGCCTCAATTGTCGTTTTGCATCAAAAGGTACTACTAAGCTTACTATTCACAAAATTACGACAAAAGATCAGTCAGGAGTTAGGCTAAATTCAGATGGTCGCGCGTCAAAGGAGTTCAAATGACAAGCGATAGCTCACCATTTCTGAATAGAAATGGTGAGCTAAGAATAGAGTCGAAAGAAGAGAGTATAAAGAATAGAGAGTGGGGAGATATAGGCTCTACTACAAGTGGAAGTGTCCCTCTAATAGAAAGAGAAAGAAGATGAGAGACCGTTAGCTTGCTCTCTCTAATCGCGCATGCGCATTGGCAACCGTAAGCATCTTACTATTTCGATGTGATGCCATTGGATGCCATGCGTCACATGAGAGAGAGATAGCTAGCGGTCTCTCATCTTCTTTCTCTTTCTACTAGACGGACACTTTAAGAGCCGCCTTCCCCACTCTAATCTTATACCTCTATGTAACTCACAGCTAACCTCATCATATTTGTCGCTGCCACATAAGTTTGTATGCAACAAACTGAACAGGGGCTCTGCTCTCTTTCTCCGAAACGAACTTTTCTCGTCAATTTGATTTTAAATGCTAATTTATACGTTTAACAATCAAATAAAATTGTTCGTTAAGTAGGTTTCGAGAATGTAAACCTCTATCTATTTTCGCTCAAACGAACATTATTTTAACAAGAAATGAATAGGAAAATGCGAAATTACGATCAAATTTAATTTTTCGTTGAATTCGGCCTTCTGTTCGATACTAGATACCAGAAGGCCGAATTTGAATTTGTATTGGTATTTGGTTCCTATAGTTAACTATAGGAACTCAATACAAATTGAAATTCAAAAATCGTTTATTCAGTTTAGGCTTATACAAGCACATTGTGATTTCAAATAGTTGAATTCGATCTATATTTCACGACAAATGTTTACTGATTTTTAGTTCGCGTTACGTCCGCTCTCTCACTCTCTGCTGTTCCAGTTTCCATACAAAATTTTAAATTGATATTTCGCACTCGCAAACGTAACGATTTCGATATTGGTTCGTGTTAAAAATACAGTTCGCAAAGGACGGGAGAAGTTGTAGCTTTTTTCTTCTTGTTATATTTCATACTGTGTCATTTAAATGACATCTAACTTCATATGTCGATACTAAGAAACTCACTAGAATACGCGCGTAAGAATGTACGCGTTGTCGTGCGACCATCAGAACTTAGCTTGAACATATGTTAAAGTAGAGAATGCTACATATTTACATTCTGTCCATGGTATGTAAATAAAACTTATCTTTATCCGATTGGACGGTTTTTATAAAATTTTGTATGCATTCGAGTAAGTTAATGACGGTTTGGATTCACAGCTGGACTGGAGTCCTCTAGTTAAGTTAAACCGCCTTATTCCAAAGCGTGGACCTAAGTAAGAAATGGTCTCTGTATTTGTTTTAGCAAACAAAGGTGACATAAATTTTCGAATGGGTTTAACTTTTGTCATCGTTTTGTAAAAAGACGGTAAAAGTATACGCGTCTATAGTCTTTTCCAAATGAATTTAGACCAATAGTAAACAAAGTGGTAGGTAATTCTGACCTTGGACAGTTTAGTGATGGTGATTCACAGAGCCTTATCGAAATCAATTGAATGATCATATTCTTTGAAGTTTCTAAGAATTAAGCTTTATAGATCTTTAACAGTTGTTAACAATTGTTAAAGATCTATAAGGCTTAATTTGCAGATTTCATATTTTTTTATCGTCATTACTCAAAAAGAACTCTGGTTGTTAACTGTATTTGGCAATATAGTTAACTTTATTTCGTTACATAATTAAACTCTTTTTGAGCGATTGGTATGCGTGATTTATTGAATATCTAGGTTCTTCGACGTCGTATATTTGTCAATTATATATCCGTATGTGCTGTGCTATATGTAAATCAAAACTTTATCACTTTTACATTTTAATAACCAGGCTGAAACAATAAGCGAGTTATTAAAATACCACACCATCAGTAATTAAGACTTAAGATAATATATTTGCAATAACACAAAGATTACGTTCCATAAAATGTAATGTGAATAAATAATCGATTCACTATTCGATTACTAGTGTCAATTGAAATCATTTTGAATAGACTTTTCGGTGCAACACTGTTCAACCATAGACAACAATTCCCATCTTTCAGAAAAACCGTACTTTTCGACTCAAGTTTTTTTTTTATATATTCATAAAGAAATAAGTGCTATAAAAGATAGAGAATTAATAAGTCTAACCTCTAGAAATTCAAATGAATGTGTTGAGAAATCAATTTAGTGCGTCATTGCGTGAGAATAGGAGGTAAAGTGTTTGTTTATTTTGGCCTAAATTAATTTAGAATAGGCTATAGAACTCGTAAGAGCTGGCATATACGAACAACGAACGAAAAAGTGAACTACAGTCTTCTATGTGCACACATACACGTACAGCTCGAGCAGTTGTCAACTGCTTGGGTAGTTGACAGCTCGATGAAATGGCAGCCGAAGCTGTAGATACGGCTGCTTGTGCAGTCCGTGTATGCTGATCATTGGTTAACTGCTCGAGCTGTCCTTTTATGGTCCTCCTATCGAGCGTGACGAAGATTCGAGTGGCTTTGGTACTATAATGCGCTTTATGGCGTCGTTAGCCCGAATACAGGTGCCAATGGAGTTCGGGTAAACGACTAGGTCTAAAGTGTACTTCCAGGGCCCAAGCGGTGATACTTCACACTAGGTTAGGTTAGTGTTTGTGACCATAACGCGCGAGCCGAGCGAGCAAAGCGAGCGTCCCGCGGCAGCAGCCGGCCAAGCGCCAGAAAAAGACTGGTTAAAGAGACCTTTTCTACAAAAAAATATCAAGTATCACCTCTTGGGCCCTGGAAGTACAGTTTTACCGAGCAATGTCTTTCGTGCACGCGAATACGGGCTAACGACCAAATGTAATTGGCATAAATTAGTTCTGTCGTAATGGATTAGAGGTCTGCGGGTCTATAAACGCTAGAATATAGCTTGACTGGCGATAGTTAGCTAAAAGTGGTTATGAAAAACAATAAATTTGTTATTTGTTTCTTAAGTTTTACAAACAAATTAAAAAATTGATTCCGACGACGCAGCCTGTAAAGGCTGCGAATCGTCAATCTAATATATAAAATTCTCGTGTCGCGGTGTTTGTGGTTAAACTCCTCCGAAACGGCTCGACCGATTTTCGTGAATTTTATATGCATGTTCAGTAGGTCTGAGAATCGGATGTAATCTATTTTTCATCCCCCTAAATGTTAAGGGTAATCCACCCCTAAATTTTTTTTTCAATTTTAGACATTTTTTTTATGATACAGCATTAGTAAATACATACAACCCTAAATTTTCACCTTTCTACCACCAACCCCAATTTTTTTATGGCGGTACGAAGTTCGCTGGGACAGATCGGACAACATCTATTTTTCATTCCCCTAAATGTTAAGGGTAATCTACCCCTAAATTTTTTTTTATCTAAAATTGAAAAAAAAAAATATGATACAGCATTAGTAAATACATATAACCCTGAATTTTCAACCCTTTACAATCAAACCCTATTTTACCATCGCGATTTTTATTTTTAATAATTTCTTTTTTTTCTCAATTCAATTTGATCTTCCACCTTCACCGGTCGATAACCGATCAACGATCAATCGATCAGTTATCCTCGCTAGATGTCTACCTGGGTCACCTCCCATCCAGCAAACATCACGGAGTAGGGATGAGAAGGAAGCCGGTCTCCTGTCTTCCTCAATATACAGTTTTCGGCCATTTTTTTTGGTTTCATATGTGTATCGATCGTAGCAGTGACTTATACGTATTATTTTAATTTTTCTGTGCATCTATTACGTTAATTTTACTCCCATCGTGAATTTATTATTAATTTCCAGTGCAATAATTATTTTTTCACATTTTATTAATAACTGATAAAGACAGTTTTAACAATTAGCCGAAACGGCTCGACCGATTTTCGTGAAGCTTTATATGCATATTGAGTAGGTCTGAGAATCGGACAACATTTATTTTTCATCCCCCTAAATGTTAAGGGTGGTCCCTACTTAAACAATTTTTTTTGGACCATCATCATACAAAAATACATACAATCCTAAATTTTCACCCTTCTACCACCAACCCCTATTTTTTATGGCGGTACGAAGTTGGCTGGGACAGCTATATAGTAGGTATTTCTATAGATATTCAATATACGGATGGTGACATTGTAATGCTCCATACCTATATAAATAATTATAAAAAAAGTGGCTTCAGACTTTCTCATTTCAGAACCAATACAATATTAAAAAAAAAGAACAAGCGCAAGACACAATAGAACGTGACGTAAGCAGTATTCGAAAATTTAAAAAATTCGAAAATTGAATGCCGTAGAATGAAAACCGAGGTTCCCTAAGCGATGCGTGTGGAACTGAATTTTCTTTCATTGAATTTACGCCCTTCAAATTTGTTTGTGTAGCTTTTGTAAAATTGTTTTTTCGTTATATAGTGAAAAGCTCTTCTACTGTTTCCTTTTGTTTATTTGTTGTTAATTTTTCTTTGTATTCTATATATAAATGCTGATTCATTATATTTACAAAGTATTTAATACACCCGTGTGAAGCCGGGACGGGCCGCTAGTTAATAAATAAAGTTTCGTGCATTAACCCGTAAAAAAGTAGTTTTATTTAATAAATTTGTTTATTAAGCTGAAGGCGCGTCCTTAAGTTTGAGCCTTCAGCTGCACTTAGAAATTTACAAATTCTAAGTTGGAACGCAAATTTAAGCGTATTTTAGTACCAAGACATTTGAGCACCACACGCAGGTGTAGGATGAGCACAAGAAGTATTTTTTTTAACGATTGCACTCACAGAAATTAAAATATTAACACTGATAGGGAGATTGTGATGTGTGTTGTTCGTATTATGGGACACTACTGTAAATGTTTAAAAATTTCGAGATGCTAGTAGCAGCACATGTATTTTTTTAAGTTATTGGTATTGTTATTAAACTTCTTAATAATTTTTATTACTTGAGTATTTTTAAAGGTCTGTTCTTCAGCTACAGGTACAAATTATGTTATTTGATGAAAACTTGTTATTAGCCTTACAAGTGGTAAATATGTTTGCATATCTTTACGATTTATAGATGTTGGTTTTCTTAAATAAAAAAAATACATATAAATTTATCGGTGTACCGTGGGCTCCAGAAGCAGACGGTGAGATGCAGCGCCTGATCGACTCTCAAGTGGAGTCGCACAAGATCGGCAGCACAATCGCCGAGGAGGCACTTACTGGCTCCTCGTCAGAGTTCTCCCCGGATCTGCCCGCTGATCTACTGCATGATGCTGTCTCCATACAACCGGTGAGATGACGTCACTATTATAGGTTCCTTACTTGAAGGATGATAGCCCAATGGAGAAGTATACGCAAAGCTCGACATAGATGGCGCTGCAAACGCTTGACCCAAACAACAGCCTAATATTGCCGGCGTCAAATTTTAAATGTGTTTTTTTGTTGTTAAAAATATTAAATAAGTGGTGAAAATGTATTCAACATGGTCTGTAATATAGCTGAAAACAGAGATGAAAAGGAGAGGAGCATCTGTGCAAGGCAGAAAAGCTGATCTAGTAGAAAGGTAGTCTTTCTATTATTATGCTAGAATGCTCATTCTCGGTACATAGATGCATCTTCCATGATTATTTTAATAGTTCATGGATCTGAGTAACTTTTAGCGAGCTCAGTAGTCAAATCTATCTCATTTTTGCATCAGTCAGACATCTCATAGAGTTAGGTTACCTCTATTAAAATGGGAGGTATAACATTGGGTTTTTTACAGACTTTCTGATCAAAATGAAGACATCCAGATGCACAACTCGGCATTTGTATGTTGTTTAATAAAAAGCTCAAAAATGAATATAAGCTAATAGGTATGTATTTGATCGAAGTTTTGGGTCAAGCGATTACAGCGCCCCTAGTGGCCAAATTTTGCAGAATTCTTGTCCATTGGGGTCGCACAAGATCGGCAGCATCATCGCCGAGGAGGATCTTACTGGCTCCTCGGTTCTCCCCGGATCTGCCTGCTGATTTACTGTATGATACTGTCTCCATACGACCGGTGAGATGATATGACTTTTTTAGATTACTTGAGTCTAAACGGCGCGGGATCATAAGTCAAACGTCTGTCACCCAAGTTGTTCAGCCAATGGGTGATAATATTATTTTTCGAGATCCAGTAATCGAAGGGTCTAAACGGAGTCCTATTATTGGTCTCATCTGTTTGTCCCTCATTTTTCAGCTTCACAGAAAAACCTTTGGAGCTTTACGTTTTAAATTTTTCACAGCATAAAGGCATCTTGTGGACCCAATCCACATGCTGTGAAAATTTTAGCCATACAAATTGTCAAAAACAAGCTAGTGAGGATTTTTCTATTATCGGCCAAAGTTACGGCGCTAGACTGTGTTTTGTTACTCCTGTTAATGACTGCACCTATGAATAGATACCCTGTCAGTTGTAACCGATTTTATGATAAAGAAAGCGCTCCACTAACTTGTTTCCGTGAATAAAGTAGTTGTGATAGTCGCGTACTCCAATTTGATGAACATTTTTTATTTTGTATATTATTACTTACCACATTATTGTCCCGACAGTCTTTATCACTAAACGTGGTGTACGAGCAAGCTTCTTTAGTGGACAGCATCTTCGGCACGGACCAATCGTACCAGGTGAGGAACGATGTTCCTCTGAGCTCTGCAGGGGCTCAATCTCCTCCTACAGGAATGGGACCTCCGGGAGATATCGCCGCCACCACTCCCCCGCCCGCTTCCCCCCCTTTACCCCCCTTAGGTCTCGACGGCAACCGAGAAGCTGCCATCGCTGTAATAATGAGTCTACTCGAAGCCGACGCGGGACTAGGAGGTTCGGTCAACTTCTCAGGGCTTCCCTGACAACAAGCCGACGGAGGTGAATTGCGCAAGCCCCTCCGATCAGCTAATGAATTGAGCATTGCCGATCTTATTAATTAAGATAGTGATTTCTCTGACATTTATACAAAACTAGCGTGATATTCTGATATCAATAAACAGGTACTTTATTGGTACCAGTTAAATGTATTTTATAAGTGTTTATAGGTATTTTGTAGATGTAATACTGGAAACGAATACTGGAATATCCGTCAGAACTCTGACTAAAACGTCAGAGTTCTGACGGATATTTTTCACTTTTTATGTTAATCCTACTAACACTAAGGACATACTATTGACACTACAAGGAGTTTCACATGGTAGTAAGGTGCTCTCTGACTTTCTATTCAATTGGTCAATATATGACGATAGGTGTTTTCGCCTACCGTGTCACTAATGGTCCTATAAGCAGATTCTTTAAGCACTATCGAGCTTTGATATTTTTCTCATTTTAGTCATCTGACATTCATTACGCTCGTGCACGGCAAAATGTTGTAATGAATCTTGAAGTAACCTGTAATAGATATTTATTTATCGATAATCGAAAATCGATTGTGAGATTGCATTGAAGTGCCGGCCTCAAAATAAAGCGGCTTTGAAATATTGAGAGATGTCTCCAAATTCCTCCTTTTTTGTTCCCGTATATTAACTTACTTTTTGTTACACCAAATCACTGTCTGTAATATATCTAATTTGATTAGTAATCAGAATTGGCAATGGACAATTCATTAAGTTTAATCGTAACTTAATCGTTAAGCAAATTAACTTAATCGTTAAGCTAATTAAGAATATGTGATTCGACGTTTAATATTATATTTAGTGCAATGTTGTAATGAGGTGTCTCAATAGCTTATTTACATATTTTTTTATGACAAGATCTTTAGAATAATATTTTCGTCATTGAAAACGAGGTCAATTTAAATATACATATATTTATAAATTTTATGCTTAATAAGCATGGTGTTTGACCACAATATATACATAATATATTACAGTACCTAGGTAGTAAGTTTATAAAATAGTATTACAATATATTTTTGACATAGGATATTGGAAGCGATTGACGCTGCAATAAATTAGTAGTGTTTACAAAATTATTTATTTAATTGCTCAACGACCACCGAAGTATTACTTCAGTCTTTAAACTTGTAGAAAATGTTACCATATTGACAATAATGAATTGTTGTACATTAATGTTAAAATGTATTTTACATAAACCTTTATTAAGTTTTACATGTTTATTTTCTGTTAAGAATTTATGGCATTAGAAGGTAAATTATTTTAATCGAATCAAGATCACTTTTATTTACGTTAATATATTTTTCTTAGTTTTGGCTTTAAATTATATTCGTTTTTTTTAATACATATAATTTGATATCGTTTTCTGGGTATATTTCAAAGTCACAGAATTAATCGATTATTTATCCCCACCGAAGCTGACGGTTGATGCAATGGATAGCAAAAAGTTGTGCCCGAATATAAATAAATTTTAAGTAGTAAAATATTGTGCCAATATTTCTCGAGCACAGATTAATTCGACAGACGACATCCGTGGCCGAGTGGTTTGTACGCCGGGTTTCATGGCTGTCGCCGACTCGAGAGGTCCCGGGTTCGAATCCCGGTGGGGGCAGATGTTTGTGTGATGAATACGAGCATTTGTACTCCAGTCATGGATGTTTAATATGTATTTATATAAATATACTTATATATGTACAGTATATGTATTCTATCCGTTACCCTAGCATCCCATAACACAAGCCTTATAGTGCTTACTTTGGGGCTAGGCTAATTGGTGTGAGTGTCGGAAATATTTATTTATTTATTTAATTATTGCTGCTTTTTAATTTTGATTATCATCAATAATATAACATTGCATCAATTTAGATTTACCATGAGTTAAACATATTATATGCCTTTTTACTACAAAAATGTTAGGCATGCGTTCAACACGGGTTTAATGAATGAAACATATAAAGGACATGGTAAAGTTTTGTATGAGCGACTGCCCTGGCAATATATAAATCCTGTACTTAGTAATATTTAATGGTAAATGGCTGAATATTTATAATTTCTATGAAAAAAGGCTCAGGAACTTTTGATAAAGTCACAATCTTGAAAATTATGAAAACTCCTACTATGTCATTACCTTATTACAATTGATAAAAGATGTTGCCAATTATTTACAGAGTCATCAATTTCGCATTTTCTTAGAATCTTTCTTCCCATTTCTCTCATTAACTCTTCACAAAGGCCTTCAGTGATTTGTTATAATCAAAATTAGGGCCAAATATGCCATAGTTTGAAGGAGTTTAGAAACAATATTGTTTATTTCGATATACTTACACAAATATTTTTTGTGTACATTTATTGTTCATTTATTTTGTAAAACGGAATATTTTTCTATTGAAACAGACATGAATTCAATTTTTAATACTTTTTAATATTTCATTAAATCACGAAAGTCGTATATAAAATAATAAAAAACACGTAAAAAAATATAAAAAACACGTAATAATTAATAAAAAAAATATTGTACAGTTTCGGGCTAGTGCGAAATATTTATACACGTTAAGGGCACTTCTTAGCCATGTCCTTTGCCTAAACAAGTTTTGAAGTCGTGTCTAATATTTTTGTAGTAAGACCGTTTTAAGCTTCTCCCTAATACTTTAAGCAACACTAGAGGTACAATTTATAGTCACGTGGTCACGTTCTGTGGTATGAAATAGAATTATAAAATTTTATTGATTTTGATTCTAGATCTTGTTATGTTTTACGTTTGTTTTTTATCGTAAGCTGTTTTTACTATGAAATAGGTTTGGTTAGCAAAATTTGCCAATGTATTACATTACTTATAAACAATTGTGAAACCTTAATTAAGTTACAGGAATTAAAAAATAATAATTATAGCTAGCCCATAGGTGTAAACGTTATCGTTAAAGAATAAAGTTTAATTATATTTGATTTTTTGTTTCTCCTTCCCCTCCTGGTTGATTAAGCCATGTATATTTTTTTTTTGAAAATGATGCCCATTTAACTAAAAATAGTTTACAACCATTTTTTAATAAGATTTAAATTTAACTTTTTACGTGTCTAAATTAAATTATAAGGAGCTTTTTTTTTGCGCAGGCAAAACCTCTATTTACAGACGTTGGCAGTACCGTCTTTGACCTATTGGAGGCCCTTGGCATATAAGGATAATGGGGCCCCTATGACCCCCGTCTGGTGATCTAACAGGAACTAGGGGCTTTGTATTTGATCTGAGGTGGGCCCCGCGGGGCCCAGGTCCCTGGGCACTTGCCCAAAGTGCCCACTGGGAAAGAGGGGTCTGGACGTTGGCGCCCTTAAGGGGCACACCAACGAACGGACCTCACACCTAGCCTCTCGCAAGTCTCACAGGTCCGAAACGGAGAAGCCGTTAAGCAGTCCGCGCGGCTTACGAGCGCTTACGGCATACTATCCGCTAAAAACCCTGCGAACCCCTCTACGCTGCTAAGTGCGGAACTGCGAGATCCCCGTTGTGAGACTTCACCGCGTCTCCGCGCCCAGCAGCCTCATGGCCTAGCCGGGGCTCCACGGCAGGGATCACCCGGAGTATTTCGGGTGATCCCGCAGACGTGCGCAGGACTGCCTGCGCTAGGAGCTAAGTTTTTTTTTATGTTATAGGGGCCATACGAGCAGGCGGCTCACCTGATGGTAAGTGATCACCGTCGCCCATGGACACTTGCAACACCAGGAGTATCACAAATGCGATGCCGGCCTTTAAGGAAGGAGTACGCTCTTTTTTTGAAGGTTTTTGGGTCGTATCGGACCGGAAACACTGCTGGCGACAACATATTCCACAGTTTTGTCGTACGTGGTAAAAAAAATCGACAAAAATGCACGGTTGTGGATAGCCACGCATCAAGATGGGGATGAAATTTTTGTCGCGATGTACGATGACGAAATGCAGCAGCTGGAATTAATCCGAACAATTCCTCAGAACACTCCCCGTGATATAGATGCAGAGCGAAGCTACATCCCTACGCAAAGCCAAAGGATCAAGCTGATCGGAAAGGTCCTGGTCTTCGACGATTCGAGCCGCTCGGCAAAGGGAGAAGCTGGTACTGGGGTGCGCCGCTTATTGCCCACCGCACCGCTGCTTAGCATTAGGCGTTACCCTCGCAAGACCTTTCGCGGCCTTCTCATGTAGGACTGAAGTACAAGAGAGGGCTGCCGTCACGGAATCCATCGGTGACCACCAGCAATGCTAACGCCATGCCGGGCAGCGAGGGATTTCCTCAGGTAGGGGGGTCACTAGACGGGCGCGGTCAGGGCGCGCACGGTGGAATATGGTAGAACAAACGCATATCAAAATTGATTTTTATTACTGATTGAAATTGGGTAATATATGAATATAATTTAATAGTTTAAAAATCGAAGTTCAATATTCTGCAGCGTAATTCATATTTTATTTCGTAAAAGTATTTTTTTTCATGTAGCAAAGTTAAACGTTTAGGCAGCTGGGAAATATTAAGTACTTCATTTACATTTTTCAATGTGAAATAGTTTTAAAACTTGAAATGAAAGGTATAAGGTATTATATATTTTTGAAAAGCACATTTATCAGAGGTTAGAAATAAATACAATTGATTGTTTTTAATACGAATATAAATTTAAAAACCAATTTAAAGAAAAAATGGAGAAATACTTTTTTTTCCTCAACTTCGTCGAATCTTTTAACATTTAGAGTTGTTTACCGATGTTTTGAATTTAATGTTAAATTATAGGTTAGTTACTCATCTAAAACATATAAAAAAATTAGCTGCGGCTTTTTGCGGTTTTCGGAGATATGTGAAAATATCGAATACTAGTCTGGGAACGGAAATCGCTATCAAATGCGGTTTCGTAGTTTACTTTTATTATCAATAGTTTGTGGTACATTTTATGAATTAATTATTTGATTTTGTTATGTAGGTTTTATCATTTCGATGTCATTTTCCGTGAGAAAATAGATATCTGAAATAATTCCCACATTCTGAAACAATATAAAAAGGGCAGTGAAAAAATATGTCTCCATTACCGTTTCAGTGGTCTTTACGTCTACGTACTCTAGTAGGTACGGTTATTTCATTATTCAACATGTCTACTTTTAACTGTACTAAACGTGAGTTAATAGTGTCTTATATAGAAGGCGGAAAAACGACTGCGGCACTTTCA